CTTAGGTAAAACATGCCTACTTCCTTCAACCATATCTCACAGGACATAATTTTCAGCCCCAGTTCCAGGTAGCACTCCTTGGATACACTTTGTTTTTGCCAGTGTAACATGACCTATATTCCAGATATGATCTAAGCAGCACAAAGTGTAGTGTGACTAATTATTTCCTATGTGCTGAGTACACTTCAGGCCCAACACAGGGTTTTAAAGCAGCCTAAGGTCGTAAGATCGATTTCGTTGAGTGATCTACTGCCCAGCTAGGTTGGCTATAACAGACGCCTTATCACTTGGAGATGGTCTCCAGGTTGACCCAAGACCTTTGTTGCCCCTTAGTCAACAACTACTACTTGTTCAGTCGGTTATAGATCCAGTCAACTACACTATTATTCATCCCATGTTTCATCACTTTATGCACAAGGTGTGTGCTGTGTGGGTCCTGGGCCTGTTTGCCCTTAGATCAGTCCCTCAGTTTCTGCTCTATACGGCGGGAAGGCTGACTCCTGCAGGCTGTGTATCCCAGGCTCGTGACAGCCAACAGCAGGCATTCGGGAAGATGTGAGAGTTAGCAGGAGGAAGGAGAATGAGTGTTTCTTCCCCATACTCTATGCTATAAGGCCTCTCCAGCAGCAGCCACAGCTCTTCACTGGCTCCAGATACCACTGGACAGGCCCACTTGGGTTCCACCCCTGGGCCCATTAACCCTGTCTTCCCCCTGTTCCTCCAGCCCAGCAGTGTGGTAGCAGCTTCCTGCTTTCGCTAATTGGTGATTTGCCTCCCTAGACCCCATTTGGCTTCTCAGTCTGTTCCATCAAAAGAATTACTATTTTCTGGTTTCAATTTCCATTGGTTTAAATGGTTTCTGTTATCCCAGTTGTCTCTATAATTCAAATGTTACTGGCAACTCTAGCATTTCTGAAATAAAGATAAGCTTTATTATCTTTACTACTGCACATAGTATCATCTGCTTTATCATCATAATGACCATAACTAAGGTGAAAAAATGTAGTTTTACATGCATTAATCTTAGAGGATCTTGACAGGTTTCTAGTAGTCACTGAAAGAAATCTTTTAGGATGGCTCTCAATTGGTCTGTTAAATGGCCTGGGGAGGAACATCAGGTTAAACAGTTTGTAATTCCCAGGAGCTTTCTCCCCTTCAAAATTCAGGATATTGTTTTCTTAACTCAGGGTTTCCTTATTCCCTTCAGTTTCCCCAAGGGAGAAAAGACACTGAGAGCAGATTTAGCCCCATTAGTAAGTTTTTTTAGCAAATGCTTTCTCTGGGCCTAGAGGCTAAATGTACACACATCATTTCACTACTGAGTTGCTTCTCTCGGGCTGTTCTCCTCCCTATGCCCTCTGCCATCTGACTTCCCCTTTTAGGGTGAAGGCCATTTCTCTTGCGGAAACGGAGACTATGCTGCCACCTTCCTCCACTTGTTGAAGTTGTACTCTATCTATCTTGGGCCTTTTTGTTGATTTAAAGTACGTCTGTAAGCCTCAGCCTGCTCATGCCTTCAGGCTGGTTTGGCCCTTCTGTTCTTAGTACCTGCTCTGTGTCTATCTGGGATCCTTGCTCAGGCCAGTTCTCAACCTGTGGGCTCAATCCCTGGCTTCTCAGGGCCTCTGTACCCTTTTCTTCAGTCGTGCTCCCTGGCCTTCTTCCGACAGATTTCTAATTGCCTTGGGGTTGCAACCTGGCCTTTCAAAAACTGCAGCCTTCTGTTACTGTCTCTTCTAGACTCTCTAGCCATGCTACCTAGCAATTTTTTCCCTGTCCTTATGAAATCAATTCTTTTTTCACTATATTTAATATGAACTGTTGCCCAGACATCAAAGAAAATGCTATAAACCCATTTTCAAGGTGTATGCCAAAACTTAGGCATTTTAAGGACAAAGCACATCCTTCCTCTAGTCTTGTTCTGTGTAAGCGCACCCTAACTGGAGTCCCAGATCTCCCCTGCTTCCTTCAGACACCCCTCATCTGGGTAGAATATCCTTATGTGCTGGTCTTCAATCTTTTTTTGTTTGTTTGCATTCCTCCTAAAACAATCGTGATGCAGTGTGCTCCTTCTCACACATTGATTAAGTTCATTCTTAGAATATATCATAGGTTTCTATATTGGAAAAATATACGATGTTTAGCCTGTTATAAACACATATGTTTAGTAAGGCAATTATTTCACTCTTTATAAATGTATCCAATGTCACCTAGAAATCAAACAAGGTGTCTTTCATACACTCCACCATCCAATTAAAAATACATATAAAAATTCTTCTCTAATGGTCAGAACTTTACACTGTTTCTTTTTATTCCTCAAATATCAGTTCCCATTCCACTTCTGCAGAATTTTATCCTAATGCAACATGTTTGAACACTCTTTTGGTGATTATCCTTTTGTTTCTTTGCAACAACAAAACATGTATAGCTATTGAAATTAAATTTATTTTCTTGTGGCCATGAGGCTTTAAGTGTTCAAAGTTTTCTTCTGCATTGAAATCTAATTTCCATTATTATCAGTACATGTAAAATCAAAACATAAAATATTATGAATATTGATAATTATTAAACATAAAAAAGTTTACTAGAAATGTATCTTTTAATGGGATGGATGGGGCTCTCTTTTTCAATCCGTTCATGAATCTGAGGATGCATATGACTTATGGTTGGAATGAGACAAGGTTCAGCATCAATTCTATTTCTATTTTTCATTTTTTGTAGCTATAAGGGCTAAGGAATCTTGCTTATATGAATAAGTAGGTGGGAATGGAAGAAGTTCGGTTATAGTAATATCATTTCATTCTTTGAAAGCCTTATGATTTATATGACAAAAAATTACTTTATTTTTTTATTATCAGCTGTTAACTCTATTAGGGCCTCCTTCAATTTTGTTGAAAACAGAGAATTTGATACCTCCTGGTTTGCAGAAGGATTTGTTCGTCATTACAATTTGGTATGGTATCAATATTTCCAATCATTCTTTTGTTTATCACTATGGAGGATTTTATACCTCAGGGCAATGCACTGTATTCATGATGGGTGAAAGGGAGGCTTTTTATGAAGTGGGTAAAGCAAAAATAAAAGAGGAAGCATTTTAGGAGAACCCCAAGAGCCTTGCCTGGAAGGCATATTCTCAGGCACACTCAATTTGGGGAATGAGTACTTGGGGAAGATGAAGATCTAGAAACTAATTTCCTAAAACCGCCTATGCTATGCATCTCATAGAAAGTCTTTGTGATCCCATATACTCTAGCTGGAAGATCATTAAGGGTTTAAGGAATTAATTAACTAATTAATTAAGGTTTGAGGAATAAATCTGTTCCTCACCTGATTCATCCCTGGTCTAGATGAGGAAGCAGGCAGAGTGCCCTCCCATGGATGAGGGACATCCCTCAGCCTGAGCGAGAAAGAGGCGGACTGGTACCAAATTGCCCAAAGACCCTAGGTGCATTATAACACTCAAATAGAGATCAACAAACATGCGGCAGTGATTTAGGGGTGCAGATACCCAAGTACACTAGGGGATTGTGAGGATGTAGAGCCCTCTCTCTTCCAGTTGACTGAACTCAGACTAACTTCAATGCTCTGGAGTTCCTCCCAGTTGATGCCTGTTTGTAGGAAATACAATAAAGATAGAAGGCAGTTACATCCAGCTAAGGGCTTTCCTGATGACTCACTATTAGTTGAGATGTAAGAGGGCACCATCCCTGCAGTAATTGAGGGTCTTTGGTCCAAACCTCTGGGCACTCACCGTATGCCAAGCACCATACTCAGCTCTTTATGTTCATTATCTCTTTTAATTTTTACAATAATCCTATGTGGTAGATGATACTATTCCTATTCTTTTACAAATAAGAAAAATGCTAGATTAAGAGAGGTGAAATAACCTGCCCAAGGTCAGGTGAAAACAATATTCAACCTCGTGTCTAATTATTCTAGTTTGTCCTTCTTTATACCAGATCATAAAGTCACCCCACTGCTGTCAAGGTCAATGGTCTTTAGGGACCAAAATCCACAGACCCTCCAGAAGACAGAACATATCCTCTGAGTGTAATGTGTGGAATAGGGAGGGGACAGAGAAAAACTGACATCGTTTAACTCAGACCAGTCAGCGAAGGCTGAAAAACATAAGCCAAAGAACAGAGCCAAATCTATTCTTCTACAGATGTTATATGTCTTTCCTCAAATGACCTTCCCCAGAACAAACAAGAACTTGAAGATTCTCTTCAGATTTAGGTTCTTGGCTCGTGTTGTGGTGGAGGGAGCCCTAAACCCAGAGGAATGGGGACAGCTATTGATTCACTGGCTCCCTCAAGCTACCCATTTCAATTCTCTGGACTTCAGCTGTTTCATGTGCAATAGATTAGGCTGGGACTAGAGTAGCATTTTCCAAACTTTTTAGACTATGACCCAGAGTGAGAAAAAAATTATCACACCACGAGCCAAGATGCACACACACGCGTGTGCGCACACACACACACACACCCCTCTGAAATAATTTGTGTTTCACAAAACAACACTAATCCCTACTATGTGATGCCCTGATATATTCTATTCTATTCATTCGGTTCATTCATTTTATTGGTAAAAAACACCCACCTGGTTGCTACTCATTAAACTGATATTTTAATCTGTTAATGAGTGGCAAATCATGGTTTAAAAAACTCTGGACTCTGAAAGAGTAGTTTAATATCAAGTCAGTATTGTTCCTGTGAATTAGGCAAAACTTATCTTTGGTACTCTCCCACCTTTCAGGGACTCATTTTCCTGGCTTTCTCTAGACCAGTTTTATTCCCTTTACCCCTATTTACCCTCACCTCCACTGCTTTATACTCAGATATCAAAAACTATTTCTGAGCAGGTGCATTTGTTTTCTCTGAGGTATCTCTGTCTCTTTATAGCCATCCTCCTAGTTTTGGTTTGAGCTTGTTACTTGCAGCTAATGCAGGTCCTGTGTTGGAGAGATGCCTCCATGTATTCCAGTCCCTGAAACTACTCACCTTTGACTTTCAGAGTCAGGTACTTGTAGTCCCAGGCGATCCCATAGATGATCAGGCAGCGGTACTGCCCTGCATCTCTCACTTGGACTTGGGGGATGTGGAACAAGGCCTTCCCCAGGGGCAGCTGCTCCTCTAGCAAAATGGCTCTTTCACTGAGCAAGGTTGTATCATTTTCCACCTTTTGCAAACTGGCTTTTAAAACTCCGAGTTCCACATGACCTCCGGTGTCAAAATCACACTCCAAGGTCACATTGCCACCGTAGTCTACCGTGTACATTTCCTTTGGGACTGTCACTGTGAAGAAAGCTGAACAGAAAATAAGACATTCTCAGATTGTCTGCCTTCACATTTCAGTTCTGTACAGAGTGGGACCTGAGGAGACCCATCCCACCCCCGTTTCCCAAGAGATACCTGTCATTATCTGGGCATTTGTGAAGGTTCCTTTCTCTCCTTTGCCCCCATCCATTCTGGGAAAGAGTAGAATTCTTGATCTGCTCTGAAGTAGTTCTCACCTCTCAACACTCCTCACCTGTGCAGCTGACTGCCTTCCTACCCCCTATTATCCAGGCTCATTTTCTTCATATGGGTCAAATTACATCATTATCTGCCAAATTCTACCTCCTCTCACCAGTGATAGTAATAATAACTATCACCCATTGAGTTCTTACTAGGTGTTAGGCCTCTGCTAACACATGATCTCTTTTAGTCCCCCCAGGAAGCCAGTGACGTAGAGCTATCTTCTTTTTAGAAAATGAAACTGAGACACAGAAAGGTTAAGCAACTTGCCTAACATTGCACAGCCAGGAACAGACCCAGGTATTGTTAAGTTCAAGCGCTCTTAACCATCACATCATACAAGTCTACTGTAGAAGCGTCTTTTCTGTCAATAAGAGGAAAGAAAGAATGGAACTAATACTTAGTGTATACCTACTATGTGCCAGCCACTGTTCTAGGCTCTTTATAACTATATCATTGGGACTTCCCTGGTGGTCCAGTGGTTAAGACTACACGTTCCCAAGGCAGGGGGCCTGGGTTCGACCCTGCATGTCTCAACTAAGATCCCGCATGCAGCAACGAAGATCCCGAGTGCCACAACTAAGACCCGGAACAGCTAAATAAATAAATGTTTTTTAAAAAACCTATGTCATTTAATACTGAAAATACAAGCATGAAACATGTATTATCATTACTGTTTTATAGTTGAGGAAACTGGGTCAAAGAGGTTTGCTCCAGGATGTACAGTTAGTAAAGTTAAAATTCAGAGCTAGTCAGATGGTTGACTTCAAAATCTGTAGTCTTTGAAACAGTATTTCCCAAAACGTGAGGCACATACTTCTAGAAGTATGCAAAATGATTTTAGATACAGCAGAATCAAGGCCCAAAGGGAGTTGGATTATTCGGAGAGGAATTTATTCCCTCTTCAATTCTATTTCAATCCTTCAAATTACATATAATTTGCAACTAGACTCTCACGTCTCTAGCAATGGTTATTTTTCTTTTTATTTTATTTTATTTATTTATTTTTTATTTTTGGCTGCTTTGGGTCTTCGTTGCTGTGCTTGGGCTTTCTCTAGTTGTGGCGAGCGGGTGCTACTCTTCGATGCGGCGCATGGGCTGCTCACTGCAGTGGCACCTCTTGTTGCAGAGCATGGGCTCTAGGTGCGTGGGCTTCAGTAGTTGTGGCTCGTGGGCTCTAGAGCGCAGGCTCAGTAGTTATGGCACACGGGCTTAGTTGCTCCGCAGCATGTGTGATCTTCCCAGGCCAGGGCTCAAACCAGTGTCCCCTGCCTTGTCAGGTGGATTCTAAACCACTGTGCCACCAGGGAAGCCCTATTTTGCCTTTTAATAAAACAAGAAGCTCTCAGGCAGATATTATTATCTGGGTAGAATTTAACAGCACCACTTTACTTTCATTGCATTTATTTTTGCTCATATCCTCTATTTACCTGTACCAGTGACACTGGTTTTCCATTTACCACAAGGGTAGATTGTTTTGTTCAAAAAATAAAAGCTCTCTTGCCTTCCAAGATGGCCCACACTCTGTCTGTGGAGCATGTATCTCCCTGAATAAACCTTCTTTCACTTTACTATGTCTTGCTCTTGAATTCTTGCCTGCACAAAGCCAAGAACCCACACTTGGCGGCCATCCTAGGGACTCAGACATGACTTGGGATGTGACCATCCTCTCGCACCCCACTCTCTTTCCTGCAACATCTTTTCTGGCACCCAGTGCGGGGCCTCAAAGGCCATAATCTCGATCCGCCTATTGGGCTATGGCTCCCCTCTGAAGGGTGGCTGGGCCTTATCCTGAGCCATGGAGATTCGAGTAGCCCGTTAAGTGGCAGCTGACGTCGCCTGCAGGATCTGGCAGAGACCAGTTCTCTGGCCGTGAAGAAGCGTACTGAGGCCAAGGCTTTTCCCCCTCAGTCTTTCTCATTCTCCTATTGCTCTATCTCTTTGGACTTGAAAAGATCCACCCAGACGACCACCGAACATCCAAGTTAAGACTGCGCAGCAAGTAATTGACAACTTGGTTGGGTCTAAAGAACTCCTGCCAGGGGGCTTATCTGGTGGCGGAGTGGTTGAGAATCTGCCTGCCAATGCAGGGGACAGGGGTTTGAGCCCTGGTCTGGGAGGATCCCACATGCCGCGGAGCAACTAGGCCCGTGAGCCACAACTACTGAGCCTGCGCGTCTGGAACCTGTGCTCCGCAACAAGAGAGGCCGCGATAGTGAGAGGCCCGCGCACCGCGATGAAGAGTGGCCCCTGCTTGCCACAACTAGAGAAAGCCCTCGCAGAGAAATGAAGACCCAGCACAGCCAAAAATTTAAAAAAAAAAAAAAAATTAAAAAAATAAAAGCTCAGTTGATTTAGATAATTCTATAAAAACAATAGCACAAAGAGTAGTCAAACATGGCAAAACTAATGAAAGTAGTGTATGCATGAATAAATTGTGATAAATTGTACAAAATTATGCTGCTTCCATTATTAATGAGTGGTTAGTCATTAAGACTGAGTGTAAGATCTCGAAGTAGCTTCTGAATTGTGACAGAAGATTAGATCAAATTATGTTCAGTAGAGCTTACTTCATTAATCCATTCATTTAATCAGTCAAAACATCCACTTATAGTTGGGGATGGCTTCTAAGAATATGCTATTTGAGTGGTTGTTTCCACATAAAATATGGTATGGAAAGAGCCTGGGATTTAGTGACAGATGAACCTGGGTTCAAATTTTGACTATATCAGGATTATGAGCCCTTTGATCTTGATCATGCCATTTAAACTCTATGAGTCTCAGCCTCTTTATCTGTAAAGGTCGAAGATAACATCTACCTGTCAGCATTGTGGGGAAAACTAGACAAAATGGCACATGTGAAGTGCCTTATTTTGGCAGGTAGTCAACAAACTTTCTTTTGTACAATGTTTTAATTCTTGAGAAAGTGGTATTCGGACCACCCTGGATAACAGATTTCACAGTATAAATAGTTTGGGGGTTTTCTGTTGCTTGAATGATTCACATCACAATTCTCTTCTGACTGGAGTTTTTCCTCCTACCATCCTGCAAATCTTTGAAGGCAGTGACCAGGTTGAATTTGCTTTGGCGTCTCCAGTGCCTAACACATACTAAATTCCAGTTAAGGGTTTAACATAAAATGACAAAAAGGGGCAGAGGGAGAAACAAAAGGATGACCCTCCCCATATTCACTTTTGCTTTCCTCTCATCAAAGAGCAACTTGCCCCAAATTGCACAAACTGGCATTCTTTTTTTTTTTTTTTTGCCATACGCGGGCCTCTCACTGTTGTGGCCTCTCCCGTTGCGGAGCACAGGCTCCAGACGCGCAGGCTCAGCGGCCATGGGTCACGGGCCCAGCCGCTCAGCGGCATGTGGGATCCTCCCGGACCGGGGCATGAACCCCTGTGCCCTGCATTGGCAGGCAGACTCTCAACCACTGTGCCACCAGGGAAGCCCCAAACTGGCATTCTTAATCACCACCCAGCACAGGTGTGAGTGTAGTGCACACACTTGAGTTTTTATCAAAAATTAATGACGAGCTTATATATTGCCTCCAACCCCTGTTTTAACCACAACTAGAACATTAGCGTGCCTTTCTGACAGAGATCTATGATACAAAAAGGAGTTCACAGCTGCCTGGTATTCTTTTGCGCAGGATGGGGGTGGGGCAGGCTACAATGTGAGTGCTTCTGTGTAAAACAACGCCAATTCAGCATTTGCTTGGCCAGGTTGAGAAGACTCTGGGACGATACATGTGAGAAAAGATGCCGTGCTTCTGAATTTCCCGCATGATTCCATTTTGTGGAATTCCCTGAAGACTTGTAATAACTCTCACCGGAGTCTCTGTAATAGGATACTCTTTAAAGTAGATTCCTTTAGGATTAGAATCATCTCCAAATACTTGAGTTATTAAGTCCCCTTATAATTAAAACAGAGCTGCCTGATACCAAATCCACTCTACCCTGGATAATAATATTTATTTATTCATTCTCTAATATGTATTAACCATATTCTATGCACCAGGTTCAGGAATTTACACTACTTTTACTCTCCTCATAGTACTTCCTTCTCTTATTTTATTACACATGATATAACAAGAAACAGTGAAGAGAAATGGGGCTTGCAGGGAAGGTTAATTGCTGAGCCTGAGATTTAACAAGAATCAGAGGACTTTGGGTGTAGTCTCTATTGAATTTATTTAGTAGATTTATTTACCACACTTATACTTTCTTCTCATGAGAGAAGGAACGCCTCTAACTTCCTCTGGAACTCCCCATAGCATACAGCAGAACTCCCCTCTTCACTGTCTGGGCCTTTGAAAAAAAAATCCATTTTCTGCTTGCTTTTCCGCTCTGCCTTGTGCAGCGTGTGTGTGTATATACAGAGGTTGGAAGCATAAAGTATGCTACCTCTCAGGCAGGTGACATTTTCCATCTAATGTTCACAAGAGGAAAGAGCAATTGGCAAAGATGAATCACATATCTGAGCCGCTCAGAATAACTAGAAGATTAATTGTTAGTTGGTCTATTTTGCCCCAACTAAAGCTTCTAAGACATGCAAAGCTTTGAGCTTGATTACTCGATACAAGATGACAAGTTTAGGAAATGCAATACTAAAATATTCTTACTTATTGTAAACTACATAGGAAATCAAAACACTCTTGCAAGCAATTCTGTGAAGAGGTTTTTCTCAAGCTTGGCTGCACATTAGAATCACTAATGAGAGGGCCTCAACCTTGCATCATAAGAATCACCTGGGAAGCTTTTAAAACACACTAATGCTCAAACCCCACTTTGGATCCTCTAAAATTAAATTCTAATTATTTTGTGAGGCCAGCATCAATTAAAAAAAAAAAATTTCCCTAGGAGCTTCTAATGTGCAGGGAGCATTGAGAAACCATTGGTTGGACAAATAAAACACCTGCACTTGCAAACATTTTTTACCATCCTGCCATCCAAAGTGTTGTCCTCAGTTTTCCCTGGGAGCTAGTTAGGAATGCAGAATCTCAGCCCATGCCCTGGACCTAGAGAAGCAGAATCTGCATTTTAACAAGGTTGGGGTGATTCACATGCACATTGACATCTGAGAAACAGAGTTATAACACTGGTTTGCATTTGGACTGTGACTGGGAAGTAGAGTGAAAGATAACATTTATTAAACTCAGTGAAGGAGACACTGGGCTAAACTGTACATCACCATTTCATGTTCCCAAAACTCTGCAAGGTAGGAGTCACTACCCCCATTTTACAGATGGGGAAACTGAGGCTTAAAGAAATGATACAACTTGCCCAAAGTAAAAAAGTGGGAGCTCATGGAGTTGGAATTCAAATTCATATCTCTGTGTGTTGAAAGCTTGTACTTCTAACAGATAGGACTATATATCTACTGGCATGTGTATACTACATACATGAATGAAATAGATATACTTTCCAGCTTTATAATAAAGAAAAGACATTTGTTTTCTATTTCATATGTCACATGGTTATTAAATTAAACTCCAACCTAGCATTGAACTCCTGATGTCATCAGACAAAGGAGAAAACTGGAAAGTTTCCACAACTGCAAATTAAGCCAACAAAACATTCATTGGTCATCTTGACTAAATTCAAGGGCAAAGGACTTGGCCAGAGCATGAAAAATTAATAAATGCATGTTCTTTAGACAGATTAAAATAGCTGGCTTGAGTAATGCTGGAGCCTTTCTGAAAGTTCTTGGGGGAAGTTCGCCTTTTATTTGCAGTCAGGGCACCAATGGAGTCAGATCTGTCACATCTCCAGGAAACACAAAACAATTTATTTGCATTACCTACCAAGATAGCTTCCTCTTTAAGCTAATTTTACACCTTTTTTCCCCATTAACAACAGAAGCTTAAGTGTTTACAGACTTCTTAAGGTATTTTGAAAGGCGAGGATGGGTGTAGGCAGTGAGGGGAGGGGGGACTGCTTTACACAGCCAGCCTTCAGAAAGCTCTAGTTCCTGGCTTAGAATAGATGCTGCTCTGATCACTTGACACATGCACTCCTCTTAGCAGGAATGCTGCATGAGACATCTTGTCTATTAGAAATCCCTTCCCCAACCTGATTCTTCTGCTTTCTATACCTCAGGGGTCAGCAGATATAGTTTTGGAGGTCAGCTATAGGCTAAGTGGAGTGACCCAGGGTGTGGTCCCTGCCCTAGAGTGACCTCAAGCATCACCCTGGTCATGGGCTTCCTGGGTTTTATTCTTCTCTGGTGGATGAAGAAAGAAGGAAACATCAATGAAAGGCGTAAGACTGGGGTTACTTTTTCCTTCAAGACATGACAAAGTACAAAAATAAATATTTCCCCTTAAATGTGTCTGGGTAACAAGATGTCCTTAGGTTTTGAAATGAAAATATAAGAAAAAAATTGAACTACAACACTACAGTAGTAAAAGAGTGAGTGATATAAGTGAAAGAATATATACATAGATCAATAGAACAGAACAGAAGGTCCAGAAAAAGACCCACACAAATATGGACAATTTATTTTTTACAAAGGTGCAAAGGCAATCAACGGAGAAAAGATAGTCTTTTCAGTAAATGAACAAATGGGGCTGGAGCAACCGGATGTCCATGTGCAAAAAAAAAAAAAAAAGCCCCAACCTATACTTCACACTATACAAAAATCAACTCAAGATGGATGGTCAACCTAAATGTAAAATGTACAACTATAAAGTATTTAGAAGAAAATCTTTCAGGTCTTGGGTTAGGCAAAGAGTTCTTAGATATGACAATCCATCAAAGAAAAAATTTGATAAATTAGGTATCTCCAAAATTAAAATCTTTCCTCTGCAAAAGACACTGTTAAGAGAATGAGAGGGACTTCCCTGGTGATCCAGTGGTAAAGAACCCATCTTCCAATGCAGGGGACGAGGGTTCGATCCCTGGTTGGGAAACTAAGATCCCACATGCCTCGGGGCAACTAAGCCCGCGCACCACAACTACTGAGCTCGCGTGCCTCAATGAAAGAGTCTGCATGCCACAAACTACAGAGCCCACGTGCCCTAGAGCCCGCACACCACAGCTAGAGAGAAGCCCACTCCCCGCAACAAAAGATCCCACATGACTCAACGAAGATCCTGCTAAGACCCGACACAGCCAAAAAAGAATGAGAAGATGAGCTACAGACTGTGAGAAAATATTTGTATATCACATATCTGATAAAGAATTTGTATCCAGAATATATAAAGAACTCTCAAAGCTGAACAATAAGAAAATAACCCAATTAAAAACAGTCAAATGATTTGATATGCCCTTCACCTAAGGAGATACATGAATGGGCAATAGGCACATGAAAATATGTTTATCCTCACTAGGTACTGGGGAAACGCAAATTAAACCACAGTGAGAAACTTCTACACACCTACTAGAATGAGTTAAAAAAGAAAAATAACAATGTCAATACCAAGGGCTGTCAAGGATGTGGAACAATTGGAACTCTCATACTTTGCTGGAGGGAATGCAAAAACAGTACAGATTCTAAGAACAGTTTGATGGTTTCTTATAAAGTTAAATATGTACTTACCATATGACTCAGTAATCCCACTCATAGGTATTCACCTAAGTGAAATGAAAACCTATGCTTCCACAAAAACCTATATACAAATGTTTATAGCAACTTTATTTATAATTGCCAAAAATAGGAAACAACCCAAAAGTCCCTCAAGTGGGAAATGAATAAACAAAATGTGGTGTGTACCTACAGAGTAATACTACTCAACAACAAAAAGGAATGAACTATTGATTCATATAACAATATGGATAAATTTCAAATGCATTATGCTAAGCGAAAGAAGCCAGACAAAAAGAATGTCTAATAAATGATCCCATTTATATGACATTCTGGAAAAGTTACAATGACAGGATAGAGAATAGATCGGTGAGTACCTGGGCTTAAAAGTTGGAGGAGGGTTTTTGTTTGGTGATAGAACTGCTCAGGATCTTGATTGTGGTGGTGGCTATATGACTATGTGTTTGTCAAAACTCATAGATGCTTTTATAAAAAAGAGTAAAATTTTACTTTATGTCAATTTAAAAATAAATATTTAAAAAGTGAAATGAAAATATTTTCCAATAGCTTTTCGCTTCAATCTTTAAATTATTTTATAGATAACATGGTAGAGCATCCACAGAGCACTCAAGTAAGGAAAGAGTTAATTTTGCCTGTCTCTAAAATTCCCAGCAGGGCAGGGTCTCTTAGAAAGGAAATATCAAGTGTTCCTTTAGCTGCCACTGCAAGGGCAGGGCTGAAGTAAGCAGAATATTGGGGTGTTCTCCAAGGATGGCCCCAAGTCAGTGTCTCTAACGCCAGACCAGGCTGAGCAGCCCAAGGGACGGGGAGAAACGTGACTGGGATCACCTGGAAGGGAGGGAAAAGCTCTTCAAAAAGTTATCAGTGCCAAAGAAGGCATTCTTTCTCAATGAAAGGCAGAATGTTGGATGACTTCCCATGGGATCGGGGCTGTTAACATAGAGGACCTAACCCCCTTTGTCCACCTCTGTCCTCCTCTCTTACCTACTGGTGTTCATCCACTATAAGGCACTCATGGTCCTGACCGCAGATGTGAATAGTCTGAACTACCTTCCCCAGGAAAGCAAAACTCTGAAACTGCTTTCCTCTTTGCTACCCACACCCTCCAGTAGAATATCTTTCTCCAAAATCCAAAGGCATAGCTTTAAGGTTCATTATTCATTTAGGTGCAAGGAAGACTCTGAGTTTCCAATTCAAGTAATCCACATTAATGTGTGAATGACCCATGGCTGCTACTGTTGCTTTTTTTTTTTTTTTTTTTTGCGGTACGCGGTCCTCCCACCGTCGCGGCCCCTCCCGCGGCGGAGCACAGGCTCCGGACGCGCAGGCTCAGCGGCCATGGCTCACGGGCCCAGCCGCTCCGCGGCATGTGGGATCCTCCTGGACCGGGGCACGAACCCGTGTCGCCTGCATCGGCAGGCGGACTCCCAACCACTGCGCCACCAGGGAAGCCCTACTGTTGGTTTTTAAAAGAGGAGGTGTCCCCCCGACCTTTGTCTCCTCACTGTCCCTGACAGAAGAAAAAAGGACAGCTTCTTGGCAGCTCACCTTTCAGGACACTCAACCCATGCCTTCTTGTGTCAGTTCAGAAGTGCATGGCCTGAATGGTCCTGTCTTCTTGTTACTACCTTTATTGGAAAGTGGGGATAGATGGATTCTTAGTCCTTGTTTCTGTAAGACAGGGACATGGGTATGCACATGCCACCCTGGGCACCATTCTTTTGGCTGTGCTTATAATAGCTGGTAATCACAGTTCCTCTCAAAGAAAGCCTTCAGCTCAAGGACTACATTCTCATCCTTGGCTTCAGCTAGGGGTCATCACCTGTTCCTCTTTCTCAGGCCCCTCCCTTTGACCTTTCTTACCTGCTGTCTGATGAAGCGGCATTCCCAGGCTCAAAATTAGCAGGAGAAGGAACATGTTCTGTACCGGATCTGAAACAGACAATTGAAAGTCTCAGGACCTTCTGCAGTTTTTCTGGGTCTCATGATTTGGTCATTTGCTCACTTCTGAAAACAGAACAGGGAAATGACTGGTAAACAAATCTTTAGGGGAGGCAGTGGACCATGGTAGAGTAGAGTTGGGAAGAGAAGTTAAAGGGTGATTGCCTAAAGGAGAGGAGAGATGGGGTAAGAAGAAGCGAGGCACCCTTTATCGATCCAAATTAGAAGCTCATATGAACCAGTGCTCATGAGTTACCCACACAGCTGGTTATCTGTACCTTTTTGTTTCTTCCATAGTTTCAGTGTAGGCCCTTGAAAACCAGTCTTGTTCATCAGATGAATAATGCACATCATCTTTTCCAGCTGGACTGGAACTCTGTGAGTTGGACACTCAGTGCTCAATAGAACAGAGCTGGATTCTCAATTAATACTTGCTAGTTGACTGAGCAGGTAAAGTTGTCAAGCTCTTTAGAGTGCTGTGATCCAGTGTGCCCATCACTTGAACTACCTGTTACTAAGAGGTGCAGACAGGGATTGCAGAGAACTGCAAACCCAGCTGAGTGGGTGCCAAACCCTAGTCCTGCTTCACCTTTCGTGCTTCCACTTTTGCTCACAAACTTTCCCACCCAAGGACTTCTCACGGTTGAAGGCAAAAGGGACAGGGTATACCACTGTCAGCTTTTTTTGTCCTCAAAGCGGCTTTCAAAATTTTATTAGCCATGGAACCATTTCTTCAAGGGGAATCAATTGGAGCCATACATCTAAATCAGGTAAAAGCAGAGCTGCTCTGAGTACAATGGAAAGCCAGTGGAGGATTTGGATCAGGAGAATGACATGATCTCATTTACATTTTTAAAAGAGGATTCAGTTTTGGTGTAGACAATAGACTAGTGTTGTGAAGGAGAGTGGGATGGGCAAGATTGGAGGCAGAAAGATCAGTAAGAAATGTTTTCACAGAGATGATAATAGTTTGGACCAGAGTGGTGGGGCTAGTGGAGGTGAGAAGGGGTCTGTTGAAGGTTTTTTATATTTATACATTTTAAAAATGTATTAAAAATTTAAAATTGGTCCCTTAAATTTATTAAAACTTTTAATATCTTTATTGGAGTATAATTGACATACAATAGAGGATTATGTGTATGTGTGTATACATATATATTTAAGACACAGATGATTTAGTGGTATGATTCAGTGGTTTTTAGTATATTCTACAGAACTGTGCAACCCATATCACTGTCTAATTTTGGATCATTTTCATCACTGCAAAAAGGAACCCAATACCCATTAGCAGAAACTCCCCAATTCTTCTTCCCTCTCCCACCAGTCCCTGGCATTCACTCATCTCCTTTCTGTCTCTATCAATTTGCTTATTCGGGATATTTTATATAAATGGAATCATACAATATGTGGTCTTTTGTGTATAGCTTCTTTCACTGAGCATATTATTTTCAAGACTCATCTGTATTGTAACACATTACCAATACTTCGTTCCTTTCTATGACTGAATAATATTCCATTGTATTAACACATCACATCTTTCTTATCCGTTCATCAGTTGATGGACATCTGTTTCCACTTGTTGGCTATTATGAGTAATGCTATTATGACATTCATGTACAAGTTTCTGTGTAGACATGTTCCCAAATCACTTGATTATATATGTAGGAGTGGAATTGATCAGTTAAACGGTAACTCTATATTTAACTTTTTGAGAAACTGCCCAACTGTTTATCAAATATATGATTTGCAATTACTTTCTCCTATTCTGTGATTGTCTTTTCAGTTTCTTGGTAGTGTTCTTTGAAGCACAAATATTTTAATTGTAAAGTACAAATTAATTTAATTTTGATGAAGGCCAGTTTATCTGTTTTCTCTTTTAATTGCTTGTGCCTTAGGTGTCATCTCTAAGAAAATATTGCCTAATCCAAGGTCACAAAGATTTACGTCTATGTTTTCTTTTGAGAATTTTATAGCTTTAGTTCTTATATTTAGGTCTTTGATCCAGTTTGAGTTAATTTTTGTGTATGGTGTGAGGTAAGGCTCCAGATTCATTGATTTGCACATGGACATCCAGTTGACTGCATAGTTTGTTTAAAGGAGTATTCTTTCTCCATTGAATTGTCATAGCACCCTCACCAAAAATCAATTGACATTAAATGTATGGGCTTAGTTCTGGAATCTCAATTCTATTCCATTGAACTATATGTCTATCCTATGTCAGTATCGCAGACTGTTGATTATGCGGAAGCTTTGTGGTAAGTTTTGAAATCGGGAAATGTGAATCTTCTAACTTGTTTTTCTTTTTTTTAAGACTTTGTGTGTGTGTATGTGTGTGTGTGTGTGTGTGTGTGTGTGGCTATTCTTGCTCCCTTGCATTTCCATGTGAATTTTAGGATCAGCTTGTCTATTTCCACACAAAAAAAGCAGCTGGAATTTTGATAGGGATTGTACTGAATCTGTAGATCCATTGGGGAATATAGCCATCTTTATAATATTAAGTCTTTTAATCCATGAATGGGGCATGTCTTTCCATTTATTTAAGTCTTCTATATTCTCAAGAAGATTCGATGGGAATTGCTGACAGGATGGAAATGTAGTTTGACAAAAGTAAAGAAATCCAGGAAAATTTCTAGGTTCGGAGCTTGAGTCACTAGGGCAATGGAGATACTATTTATTAAAAAGGAGAAGACTAAGAATGAAGCAGATTAGGGAGCAGAAATCAAAAATTGTATTTGGAATATGTTTGGTTTGAGATGTCTATTAGACACTCAAGTAAAGATGTTTAGTAGGTGGTTGGACAACTGGTGATCCAAAGTTTGGGGCAGAGATATAAATTTGGGAGTCATCAATGCATAAGTGTTACTTAAAGCCATGGTGCTGCATAGCACCACCTAAAGAGAGATAGAGAAGAGAAGGTGTCAAAGGACTGAGATACGGGGCATTCCAACACTTAGGGGTCTTTGAGAGGGAAGGTACTAGCAAAGAAGATTGAGAGAAGGGATATAAAGGTAAATTAACCATCTCTTTTATTTTCTGTATTCTGATGCTTTGACATCTGGAATCTTGCTGACTTTAGAGGGATTGCCCCCTCAGGATTAGCCGATTCCTAGAGACAGTAAACAACTGTCCCCTGAGTGTGCCTTTCATATGCAAACCAACCAGTCCAGAGCCCTACCTCCAATCACCTTTTTATTGGGCTCTCACTCTCTGGGTCACTATGTATCTGCCCTAATCACCCTAGGGTCAGTTACCAGATACCCCTATGCCCCCAAAGTCTGCTGAAATTATACAAACTAGCCCCATTCCTTCCTGTGGAACCCACAGTAGAGGCTCCTGCCTACTTTTCCCCCTTGCCCTCTGCCTCCTGTGTGACCCTGGTATTTGCCTGTATAGCCCACTATGGTGTGGCATGCCCCTTTCTCTTGGGATCTGTGAGTGTAACAAACTATTTTTTCAAAGGCAGTCACCTCCTGATCTGTTGGCCTCACCATTCCTAAATAATAGATATAATAATAAATAAAATAATAGTAACAAATAATAATAAAACCTAGAGTTTAAAACATAGTGCTGGAAGGAGGGAGTGATCAGTTGAGCCAAATGTTTCTGAGAACAGGATTTAGCAGAGTATGAAGGTCATGGATGACCCTGATAAACACAGTATCAGTAGATCTGGTACAGATAAAAATAGGAAATAAGGAAGTGGAGACAACAGAATATAGGCAACTTGTTAGAGAATAGTGCTTTAAAAGGGCGCAGAGATATGAGGCAGTAGCTAGAAGCGAATGCAAGGTCCACAGTGGGCTGTATTCTTGTTTTTAGTTTAGGGAGGGAAATATTACAGCAGATAACAACTAGGAACAGAATCTAGTGCTTTCTACCAGGAAATGCTCAAGACACACCTTAGCTAGACTTGAAAACCCTCTTCCTTACTGAAACTACAAATATATCCAGAAAAGATACCATTTTAAGCTGCACCTGCAGCCTAGCACTTGCCTAGCATTTTTTTTTTCCTAGAGTACAAAAGGATAGCATGTAACATACAGTTCTGGCAACAGAAAGGACTCTTGGTTCACCCATCACTCGTTTTAACTTCCCCTTCTTCCCTGCCCATCGAAGGGGACTTTCCTTGCACACTGTCTCCTTGAGTCAACTGAGAGACAGACACTGTCGTAAAGGTACTTTCCAACTAGCAGCCTTCTTTCTCCTAGGGATAAAGTGCCCCATGGAATGGTTAAGAGCTCAGGTTCTAACGTCAGACACATCTGAGTTCAGATTCTGAGTCTACAAAGTATTAGCCTCTAAGACCTTAGACAGTTTATGAAAACATTTTGTGTCCCATTTCCCTAAAGTGCCAATAATAATAACTCCTACTTCAAGCCGGAATCCTGGGGGCGTCATCTTAAATCTACACATCGCTTATCTTGCACATTCAGTCCAGCCCCCAGTCCTATTAATTCTACTTCCTGGATACACCATAGCAGAGCCTCCTCACTGCCATTTTTACCTCCTAGTCTTGTTTCCTTCTGCTCCATCCTTCTCTTGTCGTCACAAACCTTGACGTCATCCTTGGCTCCTGTCTTCTATCACCAGCATCTGATTCATTAACACATCCTATAGGCCCTTCTTTCAAATATATCTAGAATCTGACCATGTCTTACTGCTTCCATATCAACCTGAGCCATTATCGTGTCTTGTGGCTATTCTAACCTTGCCTTGCTACAGTTGATTCTCAACACAGGAGCCAGAGTGATTCTTTAAAAATGTAAGTCAAAGCAGGTCTGCTCAAAACCTTTTGATGGCTCAGTATTTCACTGAGAATAAACTCCTAAGTCTCTCCAATAACGAGGTAATAGGGGCCTCTGTCTTGAGTCACCCTGTCATGCTTTAGATGAGTGCACTGTAGCCATGCCCCTCCCTGCAGTGTGGGTGTTTGCTGGGTTGAGAGGTGTCATCTGGACCTCTTGACCTCCCCCCACTACCCATTATAATCT